GAGGAGGAGAGAGAGAGAGAGAGAGAGAGTGTGTGTGTGTGTGTGTGTGTGTGTGTGTACACGATATATACGATCTCAAAGGCAGGGAAGCAGCTGTCTGCAGCTCATAGCCTATGAGGCTGCTTCCCCACCTTCAAGAGTTTATATTCCCTCTCCAACCCCTGCATTCAGATAAAGGGGAGGTGATCCCTGCAAACAGTTGCTTCTCTGTATGGAGAGGGAAGAGAAAATATAGGATTTGGAAGGCAGGGAAGCAGCCTAATAGGCTATGAGCTGCTCCCCATCACAGTGCACTGGTGGATTCAGGACATAGACATGGTCCCACCTCCTTCTCCACTTATCCTTATTCCTGAGGGGGGCAGAAGCAAGCAGTTCCCGTTCTTCCCAGAGCACAGAGACTGTGCAGCCACATGAAGAGGGGAGGCTTCTTGCTCACCCCCGTGTGGCCACGTAGGGGGCCACTTGGGATCTATCCCTTATTGAAAACTCTGGATAAATGGAGGGAAAGAAAGTAGGCTCCTTAATTTTGCCCATTCTGGTGTATTGGGAGGTACGTTTTGAAACATTCCCTTGTACCTGGAACTCTTCTCACGGAATTCAGAATGCGTTGCCTGAGGAGTCTGTTGTGTGACATCACTTGCATTTTTTCTTCTTGCTCAGCTGTACAACTGAGTTGAAAACATTTTTCTTTCTTCTTGTAGGGTTTGTGAACTAGAAGAGCTGGGAGAGCTGTCTCCCTGTTGGGAGAGCCTTCGTCGACAAATAGTTACTCAGTACCAAACAATTATACTGACTTATCAGGAAAACCTAACTGACTTGCATCAATACAAAGGTCAGCAAGATTTATTTTCAGTAATAATAGATAATATGTTTCAGTTATGCTTCTTATTTTCCTTTTAAAATAAAGATTCAGAACCAAAAAGGTGGTTTTAGTCTTCGTTTGGTAGGAAAAATCAACAGACAAAATATTTTTACTCTCTTCTAAAGTTTTATAGTGATTGTACAAAGAAGCTAATTTATAAATATCATAGTCATTGTGCAACTTAACATACAAAAGAGGGGATAATGAGTGAGGTCTGGAAAAGAAAAAGTAATCTGCAATTTCCTTAAAAATGAATTAAATTAAATTAAATTGTTCTTGTTATTTTATTATTAATTTAATCACCTGATAAATTCTCTTTTGTGGGTTTCCATTAGCATTACTTTCCTCTAAATTTCATGTAATTAATGATAAGTAATATATATGCTTAATGATAAGCAATAAAATATATTACTTCTGGGGGAATTCTGGGCCTCTACGCGCACGCAGAATCATGTCCCCCACAGATTTCTTTGCGTCCCTGCAGAAAAATGACTTCTGACGGGGAAGCAAAGGGAAGCCGCAAGAGTGGTCATGCCTCTCTCCCCAGCAGTATGGGCACATTGTTTCAGGCTCCCGGAGCAGCTGGTGGGGAGGTAAATCACTGCGAGGGGGCAAGGGGCCTGGGAATGCCCTGGCTGGTGGCTTCTACCATGCACTGGGCACAGCTGCTAGTGCCAGCTGGACTGGGGGCAGGGGAGGACGGGACTTACTCTTCTCCTGCAGGGAGTGGCCAGGGCCGGGGCAAGGTCAGAACCAGCCCCAGAAATCTCTCCCGGCTGCAGGAAGCTCCACCCACCTCACCCCCTGCACTTGAACCCTCACCCCAAGGAGCCCCACCTGTTTGCATCTGAACCACCTTGATGAGCCCCCTACACCCGGACCACCACTCCACTGAGCCCCAACCAGCTGCACCCAGATCCCCACCCCACCAAGCCCCACTGCCCCAGCACCCAGACCCCCCTGCTGAGCCCCCACCACCTTCACCTGGACTCCCGCAGAGTCCCATTGCCCCTGCACCCAGACCCCCCCAACAAGCCCCTGTCCATCCAGATCCCAGACACACCCAGAGTGGCCACTGAGCCACCCACACCCAGATTGCCTCACACAGAACCCTCTTATGCACACCTGGATCCCCACACACTAAGCTCCTCCACACTTGGATTCTGCCAGGCTGAGCCTGCCTGCCTACACCTGATGTACCTGGTGCAGAGATGCAGGGCCCCAGGCTATTTCTGGAGCAGGCCCAGCCCTTGCACTGTGTCAGTGTCGAGGGCAGCCTCACTGCCGAGTCTGTGTCCTGGGCAGTAGAGGAGGGCTGCAGGGCGATTTCCCACCTCTGTGCAGCCAGTGGCCTGGAGCCTGTACATTTATTTGTTCATAAATAAAATGTGCAAAATTTTAAAATATGTGTAGAATTTGTATTTTTTGGCATAGAATTTTTAATATTTTGGCCCCGAGTTCCCTCAGGAGTAATATATAGATATATATAAACTGACAATACAAAGTCTGGTGTGCTGATTCAGCTTAATAATAATAATAATAAACAGGAACTAACTTTCTGTAGGTAAAGAACTGTCTTCAGAAATCCCAAATACATTCTGATTCTTTATATTAATAATCATTTTAGAATTTTTTAATATAATCTTATACATATAATATTATTATATGATCTAGGTTTTAGCTTTTATTCCAAGAATCCCCAAATCTTTGTTTGATAGATTCTCAGTGTTTTTTCCTCCTATACTTAGCTCTCTCTAAAGTATTATGGGAAGTATTTGATTCCTGTGTTTTGTTATTTTTAAGGAATGTGTATGTGTTTGTGTGTGTAATTATTTCAAAATCTTAATAAAACTAAATGGGAAATAAGGCAGTTTATAACCGACTGAGTTATGCACAAATGGGGGAATGATGCAGCTTTATTTACCCTAATATTAGTCCAGCTTTTCATTCAGAATGGGGGAAATAATTGGGTGTATTTTGTTCACTCTTATACTTTTCTTACTATTATGTATTCATGTCAGGCCATATTATACCTTTGTTCTACATCCATAACTCCTGTTGACATCCGTGGAGAAGGCTGGGGGTTCATTCATAGTTCAAGGTGCTGTTTTAACATACAGTGTCTTCACTCATAATGAAATTCCCCTCTGTACAGAGGGCCAGCATAAAGGTCTAGGCATCACATAAGTCCTATTTTGATGGGTTAAGAGGGACTTGCTGTAAGTGGTATGTAGGCTTTGTGCTGGCCTCCCTGCACAGGAGAAGAATTTCTCCCTGAAAGCACAGAACAGCTGTGACCACGGGAGGAAGGATGATTTTCATGCGATACGTCAGTTCAAAAGACACTGACCAGTCAATGAGAATAAAGCCAAATCCTGGGAAAGTAGAACAGAAAGTTTCAGTGTACACAATGTGTAAAGTTTGCAGCGTGCATCCCACCTCAGATTGTTAGAAAGGCAGGCATGTGTAGGTGACAGCATATTACAATATTAATTATTGAGCACAGAACTGGTATTGGTCTGTGCATAATGGATCATTGGGATCCACAGAGCAATTATCTGTGGTAGACGTTAAATTCACCGGTAGCTTTGACACTGTTGCATATTTACCTTTTTTGTCTAAGGCCTTGATCCAGCAAAGCACGTAAGCACATGATAAATGTTCTAGTGAAGTCAGTGGGACTTTTCCCATGCTTAAAGTCAAGTATGTGCTTAGGTGCTTTGCTGGATTGATTCCAGGGATCCACAACAGTAAGAGAAAATAATAATAATAATAATAATACTAAAATATAAACTTATTTTGCTAGTCATTTAGACACCAATTCTGCAATGTGTTTAAAGCTTCCTGAATTGGGGCCTAAGTGCATATCTAACTCCAGCTCATTCTTCTTAGATTAGTATTTGGACTCCACCAGATCCAGTGGCTAGGGATGATATTTATTACTAATAAATAAAGTAATCCAGTAATTGTATAGGGACCTGGAATACCTCAACTGTAAACATCCTCCAGTTTAGTTATATTTTCCCATACTATACAATGTATAAATTACTCAAAATTGGAGTGGAAGTGAGTATAGGGATCCTAACAAATGAATTCTCATAGGCTGGTGAGATGGAGTGCACTAGAAGAATTGCTTGTCTGCTTAGTGCTGTCATAAATGTTCTTCTGGTAGGGATTGATTTCTTCACCCCCTGCAGTCAGAAGATTTTTAGTATTTCTTTTAAAAGAATACGTTCTCCAGGTTCTTGCACTGTTTTCTTGTACGCTCTTCCAGCACTTGTGTACAGAGAGAACATGTGCCATCAAAATACAATGAAAATAATGTATTTGACTATGCATTGGTTTGTGTTTTAATAGGCATTTTCCCCCAGTATTATGGATTCTTCTCGTACCAGAGGGTTGGTCACAGGGTTTTGAAAGTGGATTTTAAATTAAGCCTATGTTGCCCCTTGACTTTTGTGATCATACAGTTTGGCCCCACCTGGCCAATGAGTGCCAGAGACTCCAAGCGGGGAGGAGCCTACCTGGTGCCCTCAGTGGGTATCTCCCTTCCTCGCTGCTGGGGCTGGGCCCCCTTTGATGCTGGCACCATCCAGTTCCCCCAGCCGTTTAGGCAGGTGAGTGACACTTGTTGCTAACAGCATGTGCTTTGCAGATAGACTTGCCGACTAGCAGACTTTTAGTTGTAAGTCATACTTTCTGTCAGTATTACTTCCCACCTAATGTGCAACAAGTGTTGAAAGTAACCCCAATCCACATTTGTTGGTATTTTAAGACTGGAAGTTGGTCATGGTTTTATTGGGCAGATATAGAATAAATATTTTTCTGTTACATTTCTCAGGCCCTTCGTTTAAAGCAAGTAGCTTGAAAGCTGATAAAAAATTGGAATTCGTGCCCACAAATTTACACATACAAAGAATGAGAGTCCAGGATGATGCAGGATCAGGTACATCTCTCTCTCGTGTGTGTGTGTGTGTGTGTGTGTGTGTGTGTGTGTGTGTGTGTATAATATATATATATATATATA